GCCTACATGATGGGTATATGGTTCACTACTGCCTACATGATGGGTATGGGGGTCACTACTGCCTACATGATGGGTATATGGTTCACTACTGCCTACATGATGGGTATGGGGGTCACTACTGCCTACATGATGGGTATATGGTCCACTACTGCCTACATGATGGGTATGGGGGTCACTACTGCCTACATGATGGGTATATGGTCCACTACTGCCTACATGATGGGTATATGGTTCACTACTGCCTACATGATGGGTATATGGTTCACTACTGCCTACATGATGGGTATGGGGGTCACTACTGCCTACATGATGGGTATATGGTCCACTACTGCCTACATGATGGGTATATGGTTCACTACTGCCTACATGATGGGTATATGGTTCACTACTGCATATATGATGGGTATATGGTTCACTACTGCCTACATGATGGGTATGGGGGTCACTACTGCCTACATGATGGGTATATGGTTCACTACTGCCTACATGATGGGTATGGGGGTCACTACTGCCTACATGATGGGTATATGGTTCACTACTGCCTACATGATGGGTATGGGGGTCACTACTGCCTACATGATGGGTATGGGGGTCACTACTGCCTACATGGTAGTGCATGGTTCACTACTCTGCTCTCCTCTCACTATATTATGCACTAATCTACCCCTATCTTAATTATGGTATCTGTGCATGGGGGTCTACCACTGCAAACCACCTTAAGCCCATTATCACACAGCAAAAATCTGCTATCAGAATAATAACTAACTCTGCTTTCAGACAACACTCAGCTCCATTGTTTAAATCCCTAAACTTGCTAAATATTAACTCCCTCCACACATTCTCTTGTGTCAACTACATTTACAAAACCCTGTTCTCAAATGCAAACCATGCTCTGAAACTCTCCCTGGACAGATGTAATAGGACCCATTATCACCACACCAGAAATAAATATCTCTTTGATATCCCCAGGGTCAAACTTAATCTGTGTAAACACTCTATGCAAATTAAGGGACCTAGTCTATGGAACTCACTCCCTAGTGAATTGAAAAACTGTAAAACTTTTGCCTTATTTAAAAGCAAAACCAAAAAGTACCTAACTTCATCTTCTTAGTTTCCTACACTGAGCTTTAAATTTGCTCTGTACCTAGTGTTACCCAATCTCCTAATTTTTATGTAATATCAAACAACCTTATCATTGTGTTCATTGCTGTCTTCTTATATGTGCTAGCCATATGCTGTATTGTGACTACCAATTTTTGTCAACTACCATTCAAGCTGTCATTGCAACCAATCTTATATTGTTTCTGCTGTATTGTGCCTACCAATTTTTTGTCAACTACCATTCAAGCTGTCATTGCAATCAATCTCAGCTACCTATGTGCTTTAATATACTGTACCTACAATTTTCTCTCATCTTTTTTTCATTTCATGTAATCTGTTACCATTTTTTTGTCTATAACTTTTGCAAGTATTTACCTCCTTAAAATTTTCTTAGATTAAGGACCTGCCCGAAACGCTGCGCGTGCTAGTGGCTTTACAAGACTGTAATTACCATATTTGTATCCTCACATTCCTTATGTACATTCTTGTATATGCATAAATAAATAAATAAATAAATAAACATGATGGGTATATGGTTCACTACTGCCTACATGATGGGTATGGGGGTCACTACTGCCTACATGATGGGTATGGGGGTCACTACTGCCTACATGATGGGTATATGGTTCACTACTGCCTACATGATGGGTATATGGTTCACTACTGCCTACATGATGGGTATATGGTTCACTACTGCAATATAAACAATTGGAACAGACAAGTATGGACTGGAGACACAGATGTACTTAATGCAGAGCAGTGCGGTGGTTAATGACCTACCTGAAATGCTATGCGAGTTAGTGGCTTTGCATGAATGTAAAAATACCAGCCTTATGTAATCTTACCAACCCATTGTATCTTCTTGCAAAAAAAAATTATTATACAGTATTATTATTATTATTATTATTATTATTATTAAACAGCCACTAAGAGATAGGAGAGCCAGAACCGAGGCAAAGCAAAGGGTAATGTAGGGTTAATTTTTTTTTTTTTTGCATGGGAGTAGGTTGTTCACAGGTTGTAACCGCAAAACACACAACGCAGAAAATGAGCCCCACTGCTAACGTGGGCAAAGTACGGAGACAATCCGAAGGCTTGGGAGTCGGTCGAGCAGAGCGGGCAAGGACACCAGGAACAAAACAGGTGCCCACCAGAAAGGAAAACAAGAAACCTCAATCTGGGAACACAAGACAGAGACAAGACCACCACCCAAAAGTCCCCACAGAAAGAGACAAGGCAGGATGCAAGTATCAGGCAAACAAGAGGCGGTAGAATCCCGCACAGCCACAGTTAAGCACGTAAAAGGTTGTACGCAGTGCCAGAAACCCAGAAAGAACTTCCCCCTTCTCCCCCCCCAAGGCATGGAAAACAGAGAACCATGCACCACAGGGTAACAGAGGCCCAGGTGAGGATAAACACCAGGTCAACCCACCCAGGCCAAGAACACCAAACGAAAGACAAAAACAGACAAGCAGCAACCCTAGCCCGTCACTGAGGGGACACAAACACAATCACAGCAAGGGTGGTGGCCAAAAGAAAAAGGACAGAAACCCAAACAATGCACACCCTCAGGAGCCCAGAAACAAAGAAACACATGTCCAGTGGCAGAGCAGGAAGACAGGAATGCAAGAGGCAGGGAAGAGGTGAGGGCAACAGCAGAAAGTCATAACAAGCTGGGGAGCGCCCCCCATCCCCACCAAGAGAGGGGAAGAGAATGGCTTGAAGAGCCGAAACACCACCCCAGCCGATGCAGGAAGCAGCCAAAAACGGGAAAACCCCAGAAAGCCACATACTTCCACATTCTAGGCCATGTAGACAAAAACCCACCAGGGAAAGCAAACAAGAGGGAGCAACAGAGACATCAGAGAGCCCCAGTGTGAAAATACACAAAAAATATGCACCAACGGACCCCCCACACCCAGTCCTGAAAAGTAAACACGACACTGAGTGCCACCCTGGCAGCCAGGCATGCCAGAGCAGCATGCCTGGCTGTCAGAGCGGCACCTCCACTCCTGCAGCAAGATTACTGTCCAAATGCACAAAAACCCAAGCAGGAGCACAGCGGAGCCCAAGCACACCAAGTAGGCTTCCCCTCAAGCCCCAAAACCCCTCGAGAGAGGCTCCGGGACAGAGCCTACCTCCAGCCTTGAAGAAAAAGGCAGAGTAGAGGAAAAAGTCTCAAAGAAGGGGGGCCTGCTGGGAAAACTCAGAAGCCTCGGCAGGAGGAACAGACTCACAGGCCTCTGTCCCCACATCAAACGGGACAGCCCGAGTCTCATCCCAACCAAACCGGTTCCAACCCCAAATCCTTCAGTCCTTTGGGAGCTGGGCAGCCAGGGGGATGGGATGGGGTGGGGGGGGGGAAAGAGGAGCCAGGGCAAACCACGCCAACAAAGGAAGGACCATGCCAACATTCTATCATCAAGGCATTGACAGAACCAAGGCCAAAGCAACCAATGCCCCAAAGTCCAGACCCTAATCAGAACGGGGCAGCCCTGGGGCATTCGAGCAGGCGACCAAACCCAACGCATTGCAGCCTAAACCAACCATGCAATGCGACAGCCGCTTGACCCCTAAGATCTCCCGAAGAAGAATGGGTAGCTGGAGAGCAAGCAGGGAACAAGACCAGTACGACTTCGGGTCATATGGCGTCGGAAACCCAACAAGAAGCCTGACGGAGGCATAACACGTGATCCCTACCCTGAGACGGGCAACGAACAACCATCAAACTCCCTCAAGGCGAGATGGGACTTGGATGACACAAATAGCGGTCAACCAAGCCCTAATGGGGGTTTTCAGGGGCCCACAGGGAGGATGTGTCCCTACGGGAAGCCCAGGCACTGGTGCCACCAAAGCCGGTTGTAACCCCGTATGTATCCGGGCAAACTGGCCCCTGTGAGGTGAGCAACCTCTGAAACCCAGAGGACTGCCCTACTGAACCTAGGTAACACTTAATAGGAACCCTGGCATCCCCTCAGCAGGCAAAGAAAACTAAAAGTAGGAACGAGAACCCAGAGGAAGCACCACTACCCAGGGGACCACAAAAAGGCACTGCCACTGCGGTTATGGAAGCTGTGCAACCCAAACAAACCACTCCCTACCCAGGGCCAAACGAAAAGCACCGAGACCTAAGCTGATCCCAAGGGCAAGGCAGAAGGCCAAGCAGCTGCTACCTCTATGGGAATGGGAACCCGAAGGACCCAGAGAAGAGAACACTGAACCCCAAGGTGTGTATTCACAGGATGCCTAGGGAGAGGGAGCCCTAAGTGCATGCAGCACTTGCTACATAACTCCTGGCTACTGCCAACGCACAGCAGGATGAAGCCAATCAGGCAACTGAGACCAGAGCAAACATCCACCCCGTTGAGCTTCAACCGAGAAACTGACTGTCTGGCAACTGGCCTGTTGGCCTGGGACCCACCTCTCCCTTTCCTAGTTGATGGGGGTAGGGGGTCCACGCAAATGACCGCTGTGCGGTGTGACGAAGTATTGTTAGCTTGTTTTTCTTTGGGGAAGTTTCTGTTCAGATTCAGATTAAGACTTTTAGCCTCTGTTCGGTCTCGGGTTGCAATTTTCTTCCAGGAGGGGTCTGTTTTGAAGCGCCTACCTTTCTGGGTGCTCATCCCTGGTTGATGGCAGAAATGAATACTTTCATACGTGAGAGTTTCATAGGCCATTGCTTTCTGCGTCTCTCTGAGAGAACCATGTTCTGGCTAGTGGTCCCCAGTAGGCATGGCAACTCCATATGACTGAAGCCTGTACTAATATTAGCTAAAATCAGTCCAATAGCTCCAGGAAGCCAATGGGGGCTTCCCCACAGAAAGGGGCACATGTTGTTGAATTGCCATAACTTCTTATGCCAAAGACTTCATGAAAGTTTTGGAAAATTAATAAACTGGTAAATGTGGTACAGACTTTACTTAAAACAAGTAATGGATGAACTATTTGTAAAAATCAGATTAAAATAATTAAATGTATGAAAATAAAATAACTGTCAACATGTTCTGGTATACTATACGTACAGTACTCTAATTATTTTAACATTAATTAGGTCACTATAATGTTGGAGCACTTGACAATTTTTGTACATAAAACTTATTATGATCAATAATGCAAACTAAATGATGTTGAAAATACAGTCAGATCACAATACAGTACACAAGTCACATCGAAGCTTAAGATAAATTTAAATGAGATTCTATATCATTTAATCATATACTGGGAGTCCCCCCACTTACAATGTTTCATAAATTGATCTGTAGGAATGTTGGAGTTGCCTTACATACTGGATTTGATAATTATTGAGGAGAGAGGTTCAAGTATATAGATGATATATGTGATATAGATGGCTGTATAGGTAGATAATAACTCCAGCTTTACATTAAATAACTGTGTTCTTTGGTTATGGTTGAATTTATTCGTGCTGAACCCCATTGTGTGTTCTAAAATTCTTTGATGCTGATGTTTATTGTCGGGTGATTTGCTTAGTGCACAATATATGTGTAATCTGGATTAATGTTTCCTCATGTCTTTGAGTGTATTATTATGTCTAGTTTCACTGTTAATATTACAGCTCTTTATCTTTCTTGGCCCTGATTTGCTACCACCACCATTTTTCTCTTATCAGCCTTTACTAAGCATCTTTTTACTAAAGTATATTTATTATTGATTCCAGGTTCCACATCACTTCTGAGTTACAACAAACAAAAATCAAAGCAAAGGAAACAGTGGCAACTATCGAAACTAGAATCATCCTAAGTCGGGGACCTCCTGTATATATACATACACCGATTAAGTCTAAACATGTCTGTGATGCAGCTAGCAAAGTCCACTATGATAATCACATTGGGTTTGCTTCTGGGCTTCGTGAGATAATACTGTTACAAGACATTTATAACTATGTAGGAGCACTGATAAACAAGAAATCTTAGTTATGTTTTTTGGAATACATAAGATACGTAACATCCAGGGTAAAAACAGCACAAATTTTTCATCAGTCACAATATTGTTATTATGTTTTTAATGTATGGCAGACAATTATTTTGAACTAAGAATTCCAGCCTGGGTAGCAAGAGTTCTGTCTCTAGCATTCTGTTTTACGAATAACCGAGTCCATAGAATCTCTAGTTGGCTTAGGAGCTTGTTCAATCGTTCTCAGAGCTGAGAGTGCACACATGTTGGCCTCTGTTAGACGAAAGCTTGTTTCTCCAAGTTCTGCTTCTGTTCCACACACTGCAATCATACCTGCAAATTGTTGTTTAATGTTTATAATGTTTCAGAATGATAGTGCTACAGCTATTGAAACTATACTCAAAACATCTTGTGCTAAACAATATTTCTATCACCAATACTGAATCTGCAAGGCATAAAATTGCCCATATCCAGATGGTCACAGTTAATAAGACACTGAAAAAATTAATAGTTTGATGTAATTAAACACTTGTGATGGGGCTGTCAATAGCTCCATAAGCTGAGCACTAGCCCAGCCAAGCCTTGGGAAGATGCACCAGGTCTCTGAGACCTGCCCTTGCCTACTGGGAGTCAGGACCAGAATCTTGCTATCTCTACAAGGTGAGAGGAGCTTGTGGATTCGAGATCAATCCAGAACTATTGAGGAAACCCAACAGTAAGCATAATCACACAAAACAAACAACAGTTTGAAGAAAATTAGGTACTGAGGTAAACGATCACTGTCTTCTGTTAAACACCTTTTAAGTGCCACCAGGTGGCAGCCCAAGTCACCTGAGGCTCAAGCTAGCCTGCCCTCTCATTCATGAACCACCAGAACTAAGCCACTCCACTCCACTCAAAGGGAAAAAAGAGAACAGGGTGAGGGAGCTACTGAAGACCCAACTAAACAAATAAAAAAGGGCTCTTTAAGTTAACCTTTCCCTTGCTTGAGCTAACCCTCAACCGTGCCTTGACCTGTAACAGAACACGAGGTACCAGACGCCAAACTTCAATATGGCAATACAAGTGTAGCGAGGCTGACAAACACCCCAAGCAGAGGGAAAGCCAACACCCAGGAACAGATGCCCAAAAGCTGCTCAGTAGTGCTTTTCTTTCTTGACCTGATGCGTAACTTGTTTTCATTTGTATTTGGAATCTGTTGGATGGAGGCCTTCCACGTATGTATTCATGTCTCCTGCCGTGTGCCCTGCTGGATGGTGCCTAATTGACTACACTAGTACCTTTTTATATTTGTTTAATGTCCTTGAACTTATTTTTTTACATGTTTATTTTCTAGTTTGGTTAATATCTGATTCTGGTCATGGCTCTCGGGAGGCATGAGAGTGTCTCAGAGGCCTGTTGTGATTCCTGAAGGGTTGGGAGCCCCAAGGCTATACTAAAAGCCCTCCTAGAATGAACTTTAACAACTAAGCTCAACTTGTAGAAGAAATATCAACCCAACAAGAATCACACAGATTATGAAACATACAAAAAACCATCATTGAATGTAATGAAATGTCATTTTCTGTGTGAGTCCTGGAGGCTTCCCGGAGCTATCCATGGCTGATACGTTTAGTCTTAACTTTAACTTAAGACAGGCACCTTTCTGGGTGCCTGTTCCGATCGATGGCAGATATAGAATGCTAGAAAATCAAAGGTGCATTTCTATGGGCCATTGCTCCTCGTGCCTCTCTGAGGGGGCCAGATTCTGGCCGTGGTCCCCGGTAGGCCTAGAACTCCATCCACATCGACTGATGTCAAAAGTTAGGACTATCCCTATCAGTCTGGATAGCTCTGGAGAGCCGTAGGAGCTCCCTCCAGAAATGGCATTAACTACAGCTACCCAAGAAATCAAATGAGCCAAAATAACTTAGAGAAAGTTCCTCAAAACACCAAGAAAGATTTAAATTCCTTTTATGCATATGCAAGGAATTAAACTAAGGTAACAACCAGTGTTAAATGTAATGAAACTCCATTTTCTGGGTAGAGCCCCAGAGGCTCACTAGAGTTATTGGACTGATATTGGCTAATATTAGTACAAGGCTTCAGTTGTATGGAGTTGTCATGCCTACCGGGGACCACTAGCCAGAACATAGTCCCCTCAGAGAGGTGCAGGGAGTAATGGCCTATGAAACTTTCATGTATGAAAGCATTCATGTCTGCCGTCGACTGTTGATACGCACCCAGAAAGGTAGGCACTTTAAAACAGACGCCTCCTGGTAGAAGAAATGCAACCTGAGACCAAACAGAGGCTAGAAACTCCCCCAAAGAAAAACAAGCTAACAAGCATCATGTCATCACACCTGCGCTGCTCATTCGCGCCAACTACCAGCCCCCCCTTCCCCTCAGGGAAGGGGAAAGGGGGTTCCAGCCCACTTAGGCCAGGGAGCCTCCCAGGCTCTACCCAGAAAATGGAATTTCATTACATTCAACGTTGGTTTTCTGTGGGGAAGCCTTGTCGGCTCCCTGGAGCTAACTACCCAAAGAGCAGAAATAGAGAGGGACTTACTGGGGAGGCGGCTACCCAGCACCACTTATAACAAAGATGAGACAACTGTCTGCAACCGCATACTCAAGGCGACACAAGATTGCTGAGGGTCTGGCACATTAACAAGATATCAGGCATCCTGGACCCTGATTGATCTCCAAACACCCCCCACCCCAACCCGAATGTCTGCCCGAGACATATTGCCAAACACAGTAGCCCAAGCCGCGAACTTACAAATATCATGGGCACGAGGGTAGACCGCAGGCTGGCTAGACTTAATAACCCTGCAGACGACCTGGGAGATCCAAGCTCTGGAACAGGGACAGAGAAACTGGATCAACCCAAAGCGCATCCCCGGCCACAGAAGCCGAGGCACGTAGATAACGGCGAAGAGCCACAACCGGATACAACACATGATGCACCCCCGTCCTGACCAACCAGGTATTAATGACCCAAGGACCCCTCCGGAAACCATCTGTCTTGTTCTTCACCAGAAAAGAAGGAGAAGGCTGCAACTGAACAAACTGACTACCAGGACCAAAAGAGCAGAAACCTCTGTGCCGGAGGAAAGCGTGAACCTTACCTTGAGGTTACCTTGAGGTGCTTCCGGGGCTTAGCGTCCCCGCGGCCCGGTCGTCGACCAGGCCTCCTTGTTGCCGGACTGATCAACCAGGCTGTTGGACGCGGCTGCTCGCAGCCTGACGTATGAATCACAGCCTGGTTGATCAGGCATCCTTTGGAGGTGCTTATCCAGTTCTCTCTTGAACACTGTGAGGGGTCGGCCAGTTATGCCCCTTATGTGTAGTGGAAGCTTGTTGAACAGTCTCGGGTCTCTGATGTTGATAGAGTTCTCTCTCAGAGTACCTGTTGCACCTCTGCTTTTCAACGGGGGTATTCTGCACATCCTGCCATGCCTCTTGGTCTCATGTGATGTTATTTCTGTGTGCAGGTTTGGGACCAGCCCCTCTAACATTTTCCAAGTGTAAATTATTATGTACCTCTCCCGCCTGCGCTCAAGGGAGTACAGATTTAGGCTCTTTAGTTGGTCCCAGTAATTTAGATGTTTTACTGAGTGGATTCTAGCAGTAACGGATCTCTGCACGCTCTCCAGGTCAGCAATTTCTCCAGCTTTGAAAGGGGCTGTCATTGTGCAGCAGTACTCCACTCTAGAGAGCACAAGCATTTTGAAAAGTATCATCATTGGTATAGCATCTCTAGTGTGAAAAGTACTTGTTATCCAACCTGTCATTTTTCTTGCAGTTGTGACGGCTACTTTATTGTGTTCTTTAAAGGTAAGGTCTTCCGACATGAGTACACCCAGATCCTTTACATTGCCTTTTCGTTCTATGTTATGATTTGCCCGAGTTTTGTATGTGGTTTCTGTTTTTATATTTTCAATTTTTCCGTAGCGCATGAGCTGGAACTTATCCTCGTTAAACACCATATTATTTTCTGTAGCCCAGAGAAAGACCTGATTGGAGGTTTGCCGTGTCCTCTATGTTGCCAACTCTCATGAAAATCCTAGTGTCATCTGCAAAGGATGATACAGTGCTATAGGTTGTGTTCTTGTCTATGTCCGATATGAGGATGAGAAAAAGTACTGGAGCAAGCACAGTACCCTGGGGGACTGAGCTCTTCACGGTTGATGGGCTGGATTTTATTTTGTTGACTATTACACATTGGGTTCTGTTAGTCAGGAAATTGTAGATCCATCTGCTTATTTTCCCGGTAATTCCTTTTGAACGCATTTTATGTGCAATAACACCATGGTCACATTTATCAAAAGCTTTTGTGAAATCTGTGTAAATTACATCAGCGTTTTGTTTGTCTTCCATAGCATCTAATGCCATATCATAGTGGTCCAGCAACTGCGACAGGCAAGAGCGCCCTGTTCCGAAACCATATTGTCTGGGGTTATGGAGATGCTGTGATTCCATGTATTTTGTGATCTTACTTCTTAGCACTCTCTCAAAAATTTTTATGATGTGTGATGTTAGTGCTATCGGTCTGTAATTTTTTGCCTCTGCCTTATTTCCTCCTTTATGGAGTGGTGCTATCTCTGCTGTTTTTAGTATGTCAGAGATAACGCCAGTATCTAGGCTTTGTCTCCACAGAATGTGAAGGGCCTGGGATAGTGGTTTTTTACAGTTCTTGATGAATATGGAGTTCCAAGAATTCGGGCCTAGTGCAGAGTGCATAGGCATACTGTTTATGGCTTCATCAAAATCTAGTGGGGATAGGGCGACGTCTGATATATGATTTGATGTTGGTATCATATCCATGAAAAACTCGTTTGGGTTATCAATCTTTAGTGCATTTAATGGCTCGCTGAAAACAGAGTCGTACTGCTTCCTCAGTAACTCGCTCATTTCTTTGTTGTCATCGGTGAAAGTTCCATCTCCCTTTCGCAGGGGCCCGATACTAGATGTGGTTTTTGATCTTGATTTTGCATAGGAGAAAAAATATTTTGAATTTCTCTCTATTTCACTGATGGCCTTTTGCTCTCTTTGCCTCTCCTGGGTTTTGTATGATTCCTGTAGCTTGAGTTCAATTGTTTCTATTTCTCTACCTAACCTTCTTCGCCGTTCTTGAGATAGGGTGCGACTCTCAAGTTGTTCCGCGATTCGTTTTCTTCGCCTATATAGGGAACGACGTTCCCGTTCCAATCTGCATCTCTCTCTTTTTTCTTAGGGGTATGCAGTTTGAACATATTTCTAGTGCTACTGAGCTTATTTTTTCCAGGCACTGGTTCAGGTTTGCATTTTCTAGCTGTTCTTCCCAGTTTATTTCTGTGAAGTCCTGGTTTATTTGCTCCCAGTTTATCTGTTTATTATTGAAGTTGAATTTGCTGAAATCTCCTCCACCGGAAATCTGGACTGGTTTTGAAGGTCCATTCCCCATGGTTGTCAGAACTTCAATTAAGTTGTGATCTGAGTAACAGGTATTTGTAATCATTATGTTCCCGATCAACTTATCATTATTAGTGAAAATGAGGTCCAGCGTGTTCTCCTTCCTAGTTGGTGCTACTATTTGCTGGTTTAAGGCAAACCTATCGCACATCCGTAGCAGGTCATTTGCATGTGCCTGTTCATTTAGGCTACTTCCTGGTATTCTTTCTGATATTACTGTATTAGCCAGGTGCTTCCATTTCACGTGCCGTATGTTGAAGTCCCCAAGCAGGATGATGTTCAGGGCTGGATTTGTGAGGTTTTCCAAGCGGTGTTCTATTTTCATTAGTTGGTCTTTAAACTGCTGAGGGTTTGCTTCCGGTGACTTATATACAAGCTCATATATGAAGCAATTATATACAAGCTTATATGAAGCTCACGAAAGAGACGGAGCCGTGGAAAACGCCCCAGGTTCAGACATCGAGCAAGCAGCGCCTGAAACTTAGGCTGGGCCAGCCACCAAGGAGCCACAAGGACTACTCTCTCATGGAAGGACTCCAACTGAGCCAGAATCCGAAACAACAGCTGGACCGAGGGAAAGAGGTACAGGTAACCCCACCTTGACCAGTCCTTCTGAAAGGCATCCACCGCAAAAGCCTTGCAGTCGGGGAAGGGCGCCACATATATCGGGAGACGCCGTGACCACGCCGAAGTGAAAAGATCCACTTCCGGGAATCCATACGTCCGGAAGAGTCAACGGAAGGAGTCAGCATCGACCGTCCATTCCATGGACAGGGAAATGAACAGAGACAGGCTGTCCACCAGGACATTGGAAACTCCCCTAAATATGTACTGCACGGAAAGCCAAACCCTGAGAAACCAGCAGACGAGCCACCTGAAGTGATCAGTCCCAAAGAGGCAAGGACCGAAGAGAACCCCTGCAGTTCAAGCAATGAACCACTGGAGAACAGTCCGAATAAAGCCGGATGGTTGAACCCCGAGTGACCCAAACCCTCTAAAGCAACAGCCAAACTGCCGCAAACTCCCGCACCGTGCTGTGAGCCTGACGGAAGGACGGACCCCACTGCCCCTGGCCAGCCTGGTGAGCACTGGTCACAAAGCTGATGGCCACCGTCAACGCACAGTAGGAGCACCAGCAGGGTGAAGTCAATCAGACAACCAAGACCAGAGCAGACTTCCACCCTGTTTAGCGTCAGCCAACATACTGACGGTCCAGAATGAACAAATCCACAAGGGCCGTGAACCACAAGAGTTCGAACCTACATCCAGGATGATCCCAGACGCACTTTAACCTATCTTGGACGTAGGTTCGAACCCTCATCACGGCTCTTGTGGATTTGTTCATTTGATATATCACACTATTGTGATTTCTGTGAGTATAGGGTATATAACAAATAGTTTTAAAGACTTATGTTAATTATATTCAGTAATTCTTATCTTGCATATAACTAATACTTTTGGATGTACCAAAACTCCACTAGTATATCTTAAGAGCAGTTTACAGAGAGTTATTTGACTTTGCATTTTCGATGACACAACACCTTTTAGGCTTATGGAGGTTAGTCGAGCCAAGGGAAGGCTGACCATGCAGTCACCCAATCAGTTACTAGCCAGACTCAGTAGTGTTTAACCAATTGGCCAAGTGACACAAGTGTCATTATTATACTTATGGCTAAATCTAAATCTTGCTTAATACCAATTATTTTCAATGTTGTATATATTAATAGATCAGTTAAACTGTGCTAAAGTTATTGATCTAGACATAAAAATCAGTCATTTAAAATTATATAACAAAAATCTCAAAAGCCAGAAAACATGAATGACAAAATTAAGTAATGAATTACCTGGTTTCTTGTCAGCAAGATATGCACAGTACGTGTTGAGGATAACTGTTATGTCATCAAGAGTATGGGAGGGGCACGCTTCGTGATGCCATAGAGCACGATACTGCCGAACAAACTGTACTGCTCCCACCCACCTCTGGTCCGCTACAAGTTGCAACAACTGTGGGATAAAATGTGATCGATAAAGTTGCTGCTGCATAGAATAATGTATTTTTAAACTGGAAGAATTATTTGCAAATGGTTTCAATATTTTAGAACCTGTCACAGGGTCATCCATGACAGAGAGAGAGAGAGAGAGAGAATGCACTAATATCCCAGACTAGGCCCAACCAAGTCCAAACCTGAGACGGCACCATAAAGCTAAAGTGGGCCAACTGGGTTAGGATCAAATTTCTGTCCAGCAAACTAGATGAATGACTGGGTGCACAAACTAATCAGACGTCGTGTTAGGCCAGAACTTAGATCCACAGTACACAAAGGAGTTGAAAGACCATGCAAGCAGTCTGGTGAAGATTCACAGAGCAAATTTCAGGCCAAACAGCAGAGCCTGAAAGTGGTATGAGAAATGTCCCACTCTGAACCCCTAACCAATTCATAAATTCTGCTTGGATAGGAATGCACCAAAAGGTGTCACAAATTTTTTATTCACAAACTTAAGCACACAAAATGTGCTTCTACTCTATTCTAAACGAGAGAGATTACATTACAAATTATAAGTCAAAAGCTACCTATGAGTTCATCTCATACTGTATACCTATCACATAAGATGGTTAAGCATACATAGAATCAGAAGATATGATATCAAATAGTCTACTAGTCTGCACAAGCAAACTCTGACTAAAGCACAACATATCTTCCAATATTCATGAGTGTATGAAGTTGTTAAAAAGCTAAAAGTATCTCATAACATTTAGTCTATAATCATTTATAACAGAGCATAATCATTTATAAATCAGATCGTCCCCACTAAAGGATCCTCTGCTTATACTTGTGCCACATCAAATAAAATCATTTTAATAATAAAATCCAGAATGAGTTGGATTCCTGTAGTACAGTTGGGTTCGTTCTCGATTCACAATCGAGAATTCCGGTTCGAATCCCGGGTGGGACAGAAATGGTTGGGCGCATTTCCTATCACCTAATGGGACTATTCATTTAGCAGTAAGTAGGTACCCAGGAGTTAGTCAGCTAGATATGGGGTTGCATCCTTGGCAGGGTCAATAAATGAACCTTGGGGGGGAAGGGGGACCTCAATATAAGTCTAATGTGTATGAATACACTCTGGCTGCCTGTCCCCCATCGCAATGAATTTTGAAAATTTGATGTTACTGATCTCTTATTCCCTGCACCACCAGGTTTAGTCAGACATCACCTATGCTGGCAGAGTTTAAATGAACCCTGTGCCAGTGCTCTAGGCACTTTGCTTCTTGTAACCACTTAGGACTGTCAATCCTCCGGTCCTTGCACTGCTGCTCACAGAGATGGTCCAAATAAAGCAATTTCAGACAACAATGTCACAATGTCTAGTGGATGTTTTGTGATATCTGTACATATCTAGGATCCTGGTAGTACAGTCGGGGTTATTCTCGACGCACAATTGAAAGTTCTGAGTTCGAATCTCGGGCGGGACAGAAATGGTTGGGGATATTTTCTTTCGCCTAATGCTTCTGTTCACCTAGCAGTGAATAGGTACTCAGGAGTTAGTCAGCTTGTTGTGGGGGTTGCATCCTGGGTGGGGTCAGTAATTCGGCCTTGGGGTTTGGGGGGGGTCTCGATAAAAAAAAGAGAAAATGTGTATGAATGCACACTGGCTTCCTGTACCCCGACACAATGACATTATTATTAATTATATTGTTTTTTGTATATTAAAACATATCATAATTCTTTATACTAGTATATTTTGCCATTTGAGTGACTGTGATTACTATTCTGTCAGTCCTAGTTTCTAGAATATGTGCAGTTTTGACAAGAGAGTGGTGGGAAAACCTAGGTTTATCATATGCAGCTTTAGCTGCCCTGCCTGTATCATCATCCTGTACAATGCCTATCTGAAATGGTATCTATATGGTAGAGATTCTGAAACTTTTGCCTTGTGTATCAATTACCATATATTCTTTATCATGGATCTTACAACATTTCTAGTATTTATTTTGCATGGAGCCCCCAACAAAAGAAGGGGTCATAAATGGAGCATGGAGTAAAGGTACAAAAGGGGTGACCGAGCCCAATCAGGCAACAGGAAGAAACAATGGAGTGAAAACACAGTGCAATTCCCAGCATAGCTACAAAAAAGTAGAGGCAGGAACCGAACTTGGTGGAGAACATGTCTCCACCCCACACATGTCTCCACCCCACCGCCCAGGACCTGAGCAGTTGAGGCAGGTGCTAAATTAAGTGGGGAGTAGCCTTTGCCTAACTGACCAAGACAGAACTAGAGGCACAGGAGTGTGCCCAAGAGACATTGTCTTAAAATCTTCCAATATTTTCATGTTTGTAAATAAATAAACTTCAAATGATATTCAAATGTAAACAGAGATGTTGTACCCTTAAAAACTGCATTAAGGAATTACCTGAAGGTCAGCTTCAGGTTGTGAGGTTGGCTGTGGCACTGGAAGTTCTAATGATTGGGAACCTAATGAGGAAGAGCTAACTGGAGATCCACCTTCAGTTTGACTTGTACTGCTCTCGCAGGCACTTCCTACTTCACTCTCTTCTCCGCCAACACTCTCACATTCTCCCTCTTCTCCCTGAGTTGAAAATATACATTCTTGTTAAATTGGTATGGATGTAATTAACATTTACACTAAAATTTACATCAAGTAGTGAAAATTGTTAAAGTTGCAGAAACGATGCTGCTGCAATACAGAACTTAAATTTCAATACCTACAGCAACGATGAACATCACATACTAAATTCTACCTCATCAATTCTTATTGGGTTTAGGAATTAGGTTTGATAAGACAGCGCCATATTCCCTGTATGTTACAGGCGGCGGCATCTATAACGGTGAGAGTTCCGTAATACAGTGAACCGTGTCTTTGAATCACAATCCAGGATCCCAGAGTCGATTCCCCGGGTGGGATAGAAATAGTTGGGCTCGTTTCTTTTCACTTAATGCCTCTATTCACCCAGCAGTAAATAGGTACCCAGGAGTTAGACAACTGTTGTGGTTTGTATCCTGGGAAAGGTCAACAGTTGGCCTAGGGAGGTATTGATATAAGCTTACAAGCTTTCTTGTCCCTCTACAATGGGAATTATAAAAGGAGTGCTTAGGGAGCCGGTCGGCCAAGCGTACAGCATGCTGGACTTGTGATCCTGTGGTCCCGGGTTCGATCCTGGGCGCCAGCGAGAAACAATGGGCAGAGTTTCTTTCACCCTATGCCCCTGTTACCTAGCAGTAAAATAGGTACCTGGGTGTTAGTCAGCTGTCACGGGCTGCTTCCTGGGGGTAGAGGCCTGGTCGAGGACTGGGCCGCGGGGACACTAAAGCCCCGAAATCATCTCAAGATCTCAAGAAGAAGAGTGTGTGTGGTAAGATTGTCTATATAAAAATTCAAACTTTAATGGTAAATTTGAAGTTATCACTTGGTTAAGGCTCTTAGTCAGAGGGACAAGAAGTTCCTTGAGGTCTCAAGCTGGCACAGATTAGGGGCCAGATTCATGAAGGAGAATCAGAAGCAAGCACTTACGAACCTGTCCATCTTTTCTCAATCTTTGGCACATTGTTTACAATTATTAAACAGTTAATGAGCTCCGAAGCACCAGGAGATTGTTTATAACAATACAACAGTTGATTAAGAAGTTTTCATGCTTGTAAACTGTTTAATAAATGTAACCATAGTCGTCAAAGATTGAGGAAAGATGGACACGTTCGTAAGTACTGCATAACTGCTTTGTGAATCCGGATCCAGGACCTTTGGAAAGTTGCAGAAAATAGTGGCAAAGGAGTAAGCTTCTCTGGGAAAAATGAGAAGGAAGAAAAACTGGAAAGTTGCACTAAATTCTGTAGGTCGAAACTTTGTACTTCCTTCAACCTGTTTCTCATTTAAAATGTTTACTAATGCACCTCTTAATATTTCTCATAAATAATATTTACTTCTTAGATGTAGGCATACAAGCACATGCCTCACTGAAGTATCAGAAGTTCAGAAATGTCTCCAGTGTTTTAGAGCATTCCAAGGAAAAGTTTTTCCTAAGATAAGGCTAATTCCCATTGAGAACAACACATCAAAGATGCACTAAAAACTTAGTACCAGGAAAATTTTGTACCTGGAAAATGAAAACACTATCTAAGCTTTTATTACCCTTCGTGAAGGCCTAACCTAAAAATAATAAAATGCTAATACTATAATTCATGTAATAGATTAATTGAAATAGGAGGGATTGTTAAACTTACCTCTGGCAGTTCTCGCTCAGGTGGGAGAGACACTGAGCTTTGTGTTGGTGTGGTGGGAGGTGTGGCATCCAACTGTTCCACAGCAGCTACAAGCTTTCCTTGCAGTGTGCTCAGCTCAACACTGTGGTCACTTGCCTAAATATAAACAAATATGGAATAATCTGTATCACACAACCTTATGCAGTCATGAGAACATTAACAGTCCCCAGTAAGGTTAGAAAATATGCTGTACACAAATATTGATCACAGCAATTAATAAACTTGAAAAAGAAGATACTGAAGCAAAGACGAAACAATCAATATCTGAAAACTGTATCATCAGAATTATGTACTGTACTTCAATTTATTTTTGAAACAAAAGGATTGTTGTTTATTTTCAATGAACCCTGTCTGCCACTGTGGTTTTCACTCTTCCATTCCATAAACCTGAATTAGTGTCAAGCCCCAATACTTCCTTCACATTCTAATGGTACTAATTAGCATTACCCACTTTCAAATGCTGAAATATATATCAACATTTCAATACTCAGCAATGCCATGCAAAATCCTTGCACAATATACAACTTTTGTGTGCATCTATACTCGAAAACATTCATTACAAAAAAATTTTGAATTGCTTTAGAATTATGAAATCATGATACATATTTCAGTCTGTGCTTAGTGAGTGGGTGAACTGGGAGAAATCAGTGCACAGTGGCCAGGAATGCAAGGGTTAACAAACCAGCGTCGAATGTAATGAAACACCATTTTCTGGGGGGGGAGACCCGTCGGCTCCCTGGAGCTATCCCAGGCTGATATGCTAATGTCAGACTTTGGCATCAGTCATGTGTATGGAGTTCTTAGACCTACCGGGGACCACGAGCCAGAACCTGGCCCCCCCTCAGAGAGGCAAGGGGAGCAATGGCCTATAGAAACCCCCCGTGTGGTTGGAAGGATTCTATGTCTGCCATCAACCGGGTCAGGCATCCAGAAAGGTAAGCATCCCAAAACAAACCCCTATTCTGGTTAAAATTGCTACCAAAAGCCAAACTAGTGGATAGAACTCCCCAACAGAAAACAAGAAAACTAGTATGACAGACACAGAAGCCGTGGCGCGCCAATAACGGCGGAAAGCCACAACCGGGCACAAAAACACGATGCACTCCCGGCCAAACCCACAAGGCATCAACAAACCAGGGACCCCTCCGGAAAGCAGCAGTCTCATTCTTCGCCAGAAAAGAAGGAGAAGGCCGCAGAGGAACAAAATGATCGCCCCGACCAAAGGAGCAGGAACCAGAACCTAAACCCGGCAATAGGAGAGCCAAAAGGCACAAACAAAACACACAACCTGTAGGACAAAAGGAAGCTGAGGAATGAAGAAGGCAGGCAGCAAACGAGAACAAAGGGACAGGACCAACACCAAAAGCCGCTGGACATGTGCCACATGCCACCGGGAGACCGAAGATCCAGAGGGGACATGACCACCACAAGTAAAATCCCCAGAGGAAACGACAGGGCAGATAAATACAAGCCAAGGAACACATGGGGCACACGTAACGGGGAAAACACGTTGAACTGAACGCCCAAATGAGCCGTATAAAAGATAGAAGAAGCATACCAGTGTCAGAGTAGGAGACAATAGGAATGCATGAGGATGGGATGTGGCAGAGGCCAACACTCACACCCAGCATCAAGTGCAGATAAGAGAGCCTAGTAGGCTCCAGAACCTGTACAGAAGTCAAATAACAGGTGAGGGGAGAGACGAAGAGCCAAAGCCTACCTCTAGCAAGCACAACTAGGTGAGGACAACTAGGGGAGTACAGAGAATCCAATGTACATGGAAAAGCTAAGCCTGGTACAAAAACACCAGCAAGGAAAGAGGGACCCAGAAAATCATGGGAACAAAGAACCCAAACAAGGAAGGCCCCAGGAAGAAACACGGAACGGCCAAACAAAATGCCACAACCACACTCCAACACGCAGCCGCAGTATCAAAACTGCAGCAAAACGTTACCACATAACACCCTCAACACAGGAACATGTACCACATATCAGGCACCTCCACCTTTGCACCTTGGAACATGGTGGAGGTGGGGGCCCCGAACTCAAGCATGGTAGGACACGCATAGGAGAGGGACAGGATGAGTATAGTCAGGAGCTGCCTCATATGGGCCAATAGCCCCTCTGCAGGTATCCCCCTGTTGGTATGTTCTATGTTCTCATGTACGTAAGTACTCCCATTCGTACCCCCAAAAACAAACTAGAGCCTGGATGTAAGAGACCCCAGACCGCACAAACTCACCTGCAGAACATAGGCACGGAAGGGCCATGATACAAGTCTATGAGAATGGAGCTGCCAGAGGCGGCCAGGGTATCGTGCACCCGTAGCCGAGAAAACCGGGAGCACTGCCCGCAGAAGCAGGCCAGAGCCGCTCATGCACGAGAAGAGGAGGGGAGAGACGAAGGAGGCGCCACCCACCCAAAACGCAGGGAAACCCGGCGACCTCCCCATAGCGGCACTCCAGAACACCGCCAAGAGCAACGGGGCACGAACTGGAGAATGAGAAGAGCGAGAGGCGAAGCACCCGAAAAGTAGCCCAACGGGTTGGCTACTCAGTTCTTTTCTACTCTGTTCAACAACAGAGCAGAAAAGTAGCCCAACGGGTCGTATCCCGAGTGGTTCCCTGAAGAAACAGGCCAACTCATGGGAACAGAAGCCGAAAAAAAGTAAGCAACGACACACATAGCCGGCTCATGTAAGGAAAACAATGAACCGAATCGGAACCCAAGCGGGCTACAAGTAGCCCAATCCGGCATCCCGGACCATGAGAATGGAAGGAAAACGAGCAGTGCCAAGACACAGCACGGAGAGAAGAGACATGAACAAAAGAACGCGACAGGGCCAAAAACCAAGAAGAAGCCCAGAAGAGGACCAACAAGCCCTAGAAAGGACCGGAGGGAAGCTTCACTGAAAGACGACAGACGTTTCAATAATACAGGAAGGAGCAAAAACCGTCCTGAACCTTCGGGAACACATAGAAGCAAGCACAAATGACGAAGGCACAGAAAGGCCCAGTCGCACCCGAGACCAAAAGCCATGCAGAACCCCAAGAAGAGGGGAACATGATGGAGAAGTCCCGTCCCAAGAAAAAAAGGGTGAAGAATGGAGAAGAGCACCCACCGACAGGACAGAACCAACGGGCTTAATGGACAAGGAACCGAGCCCGGAGAGGGGCCGACTCCCAACAACTCGTGCGGAGAGTGGGGAAGGAAAAAGCCCTCCGCGTAACCACAAGCCCCCCCCCCCCAGAGGGTAGAAAAACCCTGGCGGGGTCCAACGAGGCCTGAGGTCCCCCATGTCAACCCCAGCCCAGCCACAGGAACCCACACGGCAGGCCCCAGAGCCGAGCTGTTCCCCCAAAGCCCCAGCCTCACAAGAAAAAAACCAGGGCAGCCGTGAAAAGCACAAAGGAAGGGAGCCCACTGGCATATTCATACAACATGGCTGGAGGAACAGGCTCGAATGCCCCCGTCGCTACCCCAGAAGGGAAATTCCCCGAGACCAACCGAGTCTCAAAACCATGAAAGCCCCACCCCGAACCCACAGACAGTAAGGACCTGGATGCAGAAAGGAAGGAGGGGGGGGGGGGGAACCCGACAAGACCACCACCCAAAACGGGGCAGCCTCGGGGCTTCTGGGGTACAAACAACCTAGCGCATTGCCACCGAAATGCAATGTGCAACGCTCGTGTTGCCTGCACCCACATAGCATAAGATAGGGTAACCGAGTCACAAACAACCAACAAAACTCGCAGGATTCAGGGCTGAAGGTGTCACCGACCCCACAGGCAGCAGACGGAGGCAAAAGAGGAAAAGTCACCTTGAGACAAGGGGACAGAGCAACCCTCGAACTCGCACAAAGCGAGGGGGGACTCCGGGGCCACATCCATCAGGCCCACGCTCCCCCTAGGGGTTTTCCAGGGTCCTGAGCGTTTACTATAAAAGGACTCGCACTCAGGTAATCCCAGGCAGGGTACTGCTAACCGGCGCCCAAGTCTACCAAACAACTTTCTAAGAACTGAACCCCCAGGACGCGTACACTCACGGGGACCTAGCAGGGGGCTACCACCAGAAAATACTCAGAACACAGGGGACACAAGTGGCAAGAACGAAGGCAGACCCCCCCACCAGGTAGATAAAAAAGAAAAAGAAAACCCAGCAAGAGGACAGCGTACCCAGGCAGAACAGAGCCAGCTGCTATGATTGGTGAAAACAAGCTGCGCAGTACCCTGTGCCCCTACCAGTGCAAACTGCGCCTTACCCTAAGACGAACAAGGAAGACAGAACCCCCTATCACACAAAGGGCGGCTGAAAACCAAACAGTAAACGGCCTAGAGAAGCAGGACCCAAGGAACTTGTGGAAGGTAACCCCAAGCCCCAAGGGCAGTACTTACAGGGCACCTAGGGAAGGTAACTCTAGGCGCATGTAGCTCGAGTAATGGAGACTCACTCCCGGTTCACACACCACCTAGAAGACAGACACCACACTCTAGGTACAATGCTGAAACAACCACTGGAGTCGGAGCACACGACCGGTGCCTTTAGCATCAGCCGAAGAACTGATGGGTGGATAGCCAGTGTGAGAGGTCTGGGGCTCCCCTTCCCCCTCCTGGGGAGGGGGGAGCTGCGCAGACAGCGGCTCAGTGACGTGTGATGTCATGCTTGTTTTCTGTTGGGGAGTTCTATCCACTAGTTTGGCTTTTGGTAGCAATTTTAACCAGAATAGGGGTTTGTTTTGGGATGCTTACCTTTCTGGATGCCTGACCCGGTTGATGGCAGACATAGAATGCTTCCAACCACACGGGGGTTTCTATAGGCCATTGCTCCCCTTGCTTCTGTGAGGGGGCCAGGTTCTGGCTCGTGGTACCCGGTAGGCCTAAGAACTCCATACACATGACTGATGCCAAAGTCTGACATTAGCATATCAGCCTGGGATAGCTCCGGGGAGCCGACGGGGTTCCCCCCAGAAAAATAGCATTTATCTTGGTCATGGTATGCACCCTCAAACCAATTATGCTTCTATATAATATTTCAAATTAATTATGCTTCTATATAATGGATAAAATCAATTTGCTTCTAGACAATGGATCATATCA